ATATTTCTGAGAAGTAGAACCACTCAGAAGTACTTCGACGAAAGAAGCTGCCAAAAACAACCACTTACTAGCAAAGCTGTCGAAGTCTCCTTCATTCCAGGGCTACTTAAAAGAAATCTGGTATCAGGTTTGGCTTCTTGGCATGCGCCAGAATCAATTTTACCACCGAAACTAATGAAAAAATCAAAGGCAGATTGGCTTATTTCACTTTCGGGATCGAATCCTCACCCTTTGTACAAGCTTGCATAGCACATTTAAGATCAGTTTTTGCTATTTCGTCCGATTTTAAATTATCAAAACACACTTCAGTTTAGTCTGTACGGAAACGCCTGAATCTGATGTAAGGCAAGACAAACAACACGAGCTTTTGAAGTTCAGATCAAGGATTCCGTGAACACGACTGGAAGAAAATCGAAGCTTCTTAGCTTCATGAAGTCAAACTGCTTTCGCCGAACAAAGAAATCCTACTACCACATAAAGAGAGGTCAAATTTACCTCAGCAACAATTCTGGCTGATCGCTCCATGTTGTCGCTAAATCATGTATCGGCTCTGGCCAAATATCGGGCATCGAGCATAATGCAAACATTGCAAGCGAAGAAGTGAGCTTATTCGTCACTGACTGGTTCAGAAACGGGGCACCCAAAGCCAACTTTTCCATAAGTGTTTCCTTGACTTTCGCAGTCTGCAAAAAAAAAGGTTCGAAAGTTTCACTGTTCACGAGTTTTTGCTATTTTGCCCAAAACAAAAGCGAATAAAAATCCATTGTAATTTTAATTTTAGATGATGTGTGTTTATGTAAGAAGGGAATAAAAGGGAATAAGTTAAAATCTGAATAAGAATGTTTGGGTCCATGCAAGCTTCGAAGTACTGCTGAAAAGCATATATCGTGGAAAGTGAAGAACTGGTGGTTATTTCAGGAGACAAAACTAACGCCAGGATCAAAAACAGGCTGATTCCATGACGATGCAACACCGGTCAAAAAACAAAAATTTTTCTGCTGCTAGCAAGCGAATCAGTCTAATAATCGCTAATCAAAGTATACCAAATTATCACGAATAAGTGTGCTAATGCGTTTTAACCTTTTTATTATCTTTTGCTTGACGTTGCGCGAAACAAGAATATAAGCTGAATGTAAATTTATTTTGTTTTTCAAGACATTTCAGCAAAACAGCTTTTTCGTGTCCAATCTTTTTCACCCGTTATGATAATGTTTAACTATGAAAACCCTATTTGTTCACGAATAATGAACTGCATTGACTTTTTTGAAAGGTTTTCCAATGGTAACGTTTAACTATGAAAACCCTGTTTTGTTCACGAATAATGAACTGCAGTGATTTTCTTAAAAGTTATTAATCGCTAATCAACCAGAAAACCAGCTGTTTTTCAACTGCTAGCTGGACAACCAGACTAGTCAAAGTATGCCAAACTATCATGAATAAGTGTGCTGATGCATTCCAAACTTTCTACCATCTTTTCCTAGACGCGGTGAAAAATTCAAAAATATAAGCTGAGTACGTTTCCACAGCGAAGTGGTGTTTTTATGGTATTGTTTTCTCACTAACAGTCTTCTGTAACGGCGCCTAGCTGACGGCAACTTGTAACTTGCTATCTACAGAACAGGCGTTTCCTCCGGCGTAAACTTTAAAGGCCTTTGCTGAATTCATATTTTTACCATCCGCAGGGCTTACCGATATTTTCATCTGTGGGGAGCTCTGCGACTGTGGGACTCTGGTGAATCTTAGGAACATCATTTCCCACGTTTTAACTTGACGAACCGAAACGTCTTATCTCACTCTTGCCTTCTTTTCTCATACTGTTCTTGATTTAGTCGCGCCTTCGTCATTTCGACTTCCTGGGTCAACCTGGATGCTACAATCGGCTTAACAATCTTTGCTTCTGATCTGTTTTTATGGTGTGTTTTCGCTTCATTTTCTTTGTTACTGCTCCATATTATGACAAAGGCTGTAAGAAAGCTACGATGTTATAGCGCAAATTCATGAATAGACGTAACAATGTCGATTTCAGAAATTAATATTAAATTTCCTTATTTATCTAAATAATTACAACGTTCTCCACAACCACGGCTCTTTTGGTAAAATTTATTTTCTTGACTATACTACATTTTTTTTTTTGATGGGTAAGTTCACTTATCTGGTTCTGCAACGACTGAGAGTTGTCTGTGATGAGCAGCGTTGTCTGTGAAAGTAAGCATTCAGCGTTATTTTACCGTCAATGGGAAATCCCTCTATGTTTAGACCCAAAACACTAGAAAATGCTATGCTTATGCAAAAAAAATGCCAAATGTCAAAAGCGACAAATACGGCGGCATTAAACCTCAATTTAGGCCACAAGGTTTGCACAGAGAACATGAACATTGGAGTAAATTCCTAGTTACAATAAAAAAATATACACTTGTACATACCAAATTCTTATCTGTTATAGTTTCCCATCGTTCTCGTATTGTATCGTAGAAGATGCAGGCTCCAAAATGTTGCACAGCAGTTGGC